CAGGGGCTGCTCCCAGCGCCACCCCTGGCTTGGGAGTGGCCGCCGGGACGAAGCGGCCCTTCCAGTCTGTGCGCTTGTGGGGGCTGTGCTGCCCCTGAGAGCTCCTCCGCGGGAAGAAACGCCCCGTTTGATCTTTCTAGCATGTCTCCCATGGGTGGCTCCTAGCCGTAGGCGAGGGCCTGGGGAGTCAAGCGGCTGCGGACTGCTTGTCCGCCTGCGCCGCCGCGGGAGTCCCTGGCCAGGCCCCGTGTGCAGTGGTGGACTCGGGTAAACCAGCTTTGCAAGTTCTGCCCAGCTGCAGGTGGGCGCCCTCAGCACAACCCGATATCACCGGTGACCGCGCAAGGGCAGTTCCAACCCACCCCCACCCCCACCCACCCCCACTGCTTTCCTGGTGGATCCTCAGTCCCTACCTCCCTGCCAGCCTGCTGTCACTTTACAGCGACCCTGGATGGGCTGTAGAAGTCATCCAGGCTTGTTCTTTTAAAGATTGTTCAGACTGACCTATTCTAGGTCCTTTGTGCTCCCAAATAAACTTGCAGTTTCTACAAAAAAAAAAAAAATGCCTGAGATGAGATTTTGACAGGTGTTGTTTGTTAAATGTGTAGATCAGTTGGGGAGAATTTGCAACTTAATATTGAATAGTGCCATTAATGAACGAGGTGTAAATCCTCATTTACTTAGTCCTTTAATCCTTCCTAGTTTTTAGCAAAGTTAATTTCCGTTAATTACTAAATGCTTTGAGGGATGGTATTTGGAGTGAAATTTATATTACTTTCTAGTTGTTTGCCGCTAATAACTACACATTAAGAAATTGGTTAGCCTGTTTATTGGTTAGTTATTTCCAGTAGTTGTATTATAATCAGATGTGTCCTTTGCAATCAGATTTCCTCCTTTCTTGCCTTTCGTTTCTATTTCCTCCGCTTAATGCCATGGAGAGACCTCTCTTACCACGTTGAGTTGGTGAGAGTGAACACCTGCCTTGTTCTGAACCTGGGAATCAGGTGTTTCATATTTCACCCCGGGCGATGGAAGCTGTGGGTACTCAGAAAGAAGCGCAGGAAGCACCTTTACACTTAGATTGCTGAGAAGTTTTTTATTCCTTTTCCTTTTTTTTCTAACAACTGGAAATTTAACTATATTAACAGTTAAGGATATGATCATCAGAGCTGAGGAAACTGTTTAATAATAGACACTAGGGATTTATAATAAAAACTCAGCATTTAGGAAGAAGAGTAGATCCATCTGATCATGCAAAGCAGAAGAAATGTGTGACATCAGTGCGTTGGGTTGTGCACATACATCAGACTCAAACTGTTCACTCCTGCGACTCTACTTAGCATGAAACCCGAAAATGAGCAAAAGACTTCTTGATAATGTAGATCTGAAAGTGGTTCCCTGAGGAACCCTGGTGGATAGAGGTTAAAAACTGACTGGAAAAAGAAACATCTGGAAACTTTCTGTGATGATGAAAACTTCTTTATGTGACTTTTCCTGCTGAAAGGAAAAAAAAAAACAACCTAAAAATTGGAGACCTTCCCGTGTCATTTCCTTCATTTTATCTATTTTTCTGTGTTGAATTTACTCATGGGGATTTGAATAAACTTGTCATGAGTGAAAGAAGGGGAATGAAAAAACAGTCCTACCATAAATGGATGTTGACTTTTCCTATCTAGGACTTGCTGAAAATGGAAAATAGATTCCATTTGTACACAGACTACTTCCCCGCCTCTTCCCAAGACAGCTGTAGATGTGTGTGAGCCTTTGTTCAAGTGTGGCTCTGTGGTGTTGCATGTTGTGAACATGTATTTCCACACAAATGTAAACCTATCTTTTTTTATTTGTTTATGCATTCAAGAACTGGGGTACAGGCCAGAGGTACAGTAGGTGAGAGGATTCACCAGAGACAGAGTGGGGAGCAGAACAGCCAGACTGATGGAAACACACTGCTGAGGGGAGCACAGATGAGTCAGGAGAGGTCTGCTGAGCCCTGTGGGTCAGCTCCCTGGCCGGGGATCGAACTGGTGCTGCAGTGGCTGCAGACAGCTTGTAATGCTGTGCTTCAGCCCATTGTAACTCCAGGGAGACCCAGATATAAACCTCTTTATGTGTGAAAACCTTTGTCCACTGAACACCAGGATGTTGAGACCCATCTGTGCTAACTGGATTCAGCTCATTGAATGTCAACAGCTTTGCAGCCTAGACACCCCCTCCCCACCCGGGCTGCCCGGTAGGGTGAGGAGAGTACTGTGGGCGGCAAGCCCTCCATTCAGGTGGGTTGCAAGAATGTGGGGTGAGCAGGCAGTTGTGGATCCAAGATCTGGCTCTGCCCCTTACCCAAGGTGTGAGCCTTGGCTGCTTTTCAGAATGGAGGTGACGACTTCTAGGATGGGGGAGGTTAAGGAAGCTGGTGTGAGAGTGAACCTGTGCCTGGTCCTAACGGGTCACCCAGACGTTAGCTTCTTCCCCTTCTCATCTGTGCTCCGGTGGGAAATGGGGGGCAAGAGCGTGGTTGAGCCTCACTTACCAGAGCTCCTCGTGCTATCCACAGAGGCCCTGCGGCCAGCCGTCTGGGCTCGTGTTAATGTCCCTTCTGCCCTCCACAGGACACAGTGGCCCTGGAGAGCATGCCCCTGCTGGGCTTCACCATCGCACCGGAAAAGGAAGAGGGCACCAGTGAAGTGGGGCCTGTTTTCCACCTTTTCCACAAGAAAACCCTGTTTTACAGCTTCAGAGCAGAGGATGCCAGTTCAGCTCGGAGGTAGCTAAGCACAAAT